TCTTCTCAATCAGCACCTTACTGCTAGGCCAAATACTGTGCCTTGATTTTCGGACTATATGAAAGCTACGAGAAACATTACAGTAATCCTAAAAGTTGGAGCCAAACAAAAATATACTCAGACAGTGCCACTCTCATTGTTCTGTTATCGAATTCCCAATATATACTTTTGCTATCCCTTCCCACATTAGCACCCCCTTAAATAACTAATCTTTTTTAGCTTCGCTATTCCTTTTGCACAAATGGCCAACATGTGCATTTTCTTGAATTTTTTTTTACAAGAAAAGCACATTTTAAGTGTTCTTTTGGGTTTTAACTTTTTTGCATTTAACATTATGTTCTGGCTGTCACTCTCATCAGTTCACAGAGCTATTTGTTTTTTAGCAGGTGTATACTCTGCTATGCTGTGGATGCACAGTTTATATGACTCTCCTATACACGGGAATTTGGTCAATTCCAATATTCTGAAATTACAATACTGCAATGAGTAATTTTTGTGTATAGGTACTTTCAGAATGTATCTTCAAGAAAGATTCTTAAGAGTCAGACTGCTGTGTTAAAGTATAAGTGCAGGGGCCAGCACTGTGGCGTAGCAGGTAAAGCCATCACCTGCAGTACTGGCATCTCATGTGGGCACCGGTTCAAGTCCCAGCTACTTCACTTCCAATCCAGCTCTCTGCTATGGCCTGGGAAAGCAGAAGATGGCTCAGGTCTTTGGGCCCCTGCACCTGCATGGGAGACCCGGAAAAAACTCCAGGCTCCTGTCTTCGGATTGGCAGCCATTTGAGGAGCGAACCAGAGGATGGAAGACCTGTCTCCTTTCCCTCCCTTTCTCCCTCCCTCCCTCGCTCACTCGCTCCTGTCTCTGTCTCTCTGTAACTCTTGCAAATAGATGAATAAATCTTAAAAAAAAAAATAAGTGCATGCATAATTTTGTTAAGCACTATCAAATTTGCACTCCACAAGCACAAGTCCACCTAACTGTCCATTGCCTCAGCAACAGAACAGTTTGTTATCCAAAAGCACTTCTGCCAGTCTGCTAAAGAGAAATGGTATCTCAAGAGTTATTTTAATTTGCATGTCTGAGAGAGTTTGAACCTTTTTTTCACATTTCAGAACCATTTTCATACTTTTGGTAAACAGTCTAATCATATTTTTTGCCCACTGATCTATCAAATATTTGTCCCTTGAATTTTAAGTACTCTTTAAACTCATAAAGGATATTAACCCATTGCAGAATATTTTTTTACTGATACAGATTTCCCAAGTTTTTTCTTAATGTCTCTTTTCTGTTCTAAGATCCCACCTAGGATACAGTACATCTAGCTGTCTTATCTCCTTAAATCCCAGTTGACTGTGGCAGTTCCTCAGATTCCTGGCTTTGATAACCTTGATCAAGGGTATTTACTATCTGTAGGACTTATCACTGATGATGCAAATGTTGATTATCTGAAAAAAACAGCCTTGCCAGGTTTCTCCATGATAAAGTTACCTTTTCCCACTCAGACTGAACTTTTACTGCCTATTTTCTTTGTCTTCTCTTTCACTAAATTAGTCATTTTTATATTCTCAAAGTCAAATACTTAGCAGATACTTGGAAACTGTTTATAGCAAGAAAATGGAGGTGAAATGGTTAGTCATCAAGCCTGGAGCAAGGAGACTGAATACCAGTTCTTCAATCTTTCCACCATCCACCAGGAATAGATTATAAGAGAACATGGCAATGCACAAAAAAAAAAAAAAGTAAATTCATGGTCTACTTCCTATCCCAGGTCTCTTTAATTGCCTTAGATCTTAGTCACAACTTTTTCATATAAATTTCTGTAGAATTTATTTAGTTACCAGTAACAATAAATTCTCCTTTATTAAGTATTTACCCTGTGGCAAGGACTGTGCTAATATGCATTATCTTTGTAACAATCTTACAAGGTTAGTGTCATTATCACCTTCCTATGAATTAAAATTCGGGCTCAAAGAAATTAAGTTGATTGAGCTTTGGAAAGTTAACAGTTCAATACTGATCTGTATCCATACTGACCGGCACAAAGTCCCCAATTAATCTGTTCCTGATCTAAGAAATGTCCTCTTCTGACCTGCATTACCTTTTCTTCTCATGAAACACTTGATTTTACAAAGCACCCAAGTACAAGACTGTGGGCTCCCTGTGGACAGGATAATGACATTCATTTGTTCAAGTTCCTAATCCATTTAACATACTACTCTCATCCTGTGAGTGATCCGCCCGATTTTGAATTTAGGAAGTCATCAACACCTATTGGGCACTTTGTCATTCACCAAGAAGATCACAATAAACACTTTGAGAAGTGAAACTGAAGTTGTGAAGTGGAGGAATAATCAATCTGACAATCACTAAATTTCAGACCTAGAAAATTTTCAGAAATCTGGCCTTAATTCCTCATTTTACAAATGAGAAGACTGAAAACAGAAAGCTTAAGAGCTTTGTCCGAGGTCAATAGTACCTCGGTATGATTTTAAGGTTCTTAATACCACATCTTACCACCATACAATTCACTAACAGTGCTGCTCAAGAAAACAAGTAGTAATGAGAGAGAGGCCAATGGAGCAGCTTAGCCACCTGGCAATAGTTCTTGTTATCTCAAGGTGTAAAGGATATGGGTTTGGTTCCTCATGCTCTGAAGATAAACAGACACCGCCCCCTCCCCCAATACAGGTTAGGTTCATACCAGTTTAGGAGCAAAGGCTGACCTAGATGCACCCACCGCTCATTATACACTCACTGGATACATTAGTATACCAAACAACACAGCTACCAGCCACCAGGACATGAAACACTGGACCATCTAAGGAGCAAAAAGGGGCAGGAGCTACACTTCAGGGAAATCCCCATCTACTTCCCAGGAAAACCATGACTACTCTTCCTCTTTATTAGAATGCAACTTCCCTTTCATTAAACACCCACATAAAAAACACAGTTCAGAGATGGGGCCACTCACCTCCATACTCTAGTTGTGCAGTGTGCCCTTTCTGTTTCTCACTTGCTGCTTGCTACCTGCTATTCTCCAAATCTCTTCCTGATAGGAATTCAAGAATCTGTGTACTGGACGGTCCTTGCTCTCTGATGCCAGTTATAATCAAACATCTGCTGAAATACATATTGTCAACCTATTCTCTGTAGGTGGGAGTCTGTTTAGAACAGCCTTGGTGGGGCCAGAAAGTGGCATAGTGGGTAAAAGCGCTGCCCGCACTGCCAGCATCCCATATGGATGCTGGTTCAAGTCCCGGCTGCTCCACTTCCAATCCAGCTCTCTCCTATGGCCTGGGAAAGCAGTAGAAGAGGGCCCAAGTCCTTGAGCCCCTGCATCCATGTGGGAGACCTGGAGGAAACTCCTGGCTCTGGATGGGCGCAGCTTCAGCCATTGGGCCAACTGTGGAGTGAACCACTGCATGGAAGACCTTTCTCTCTCTCTGCCTCTCCTTTTCTCTGTAACTCTTTCAAATAAATGAATAAATCTTTAAAAAAAAAAAAAGCCTTGGTAATTGAGGAGCTCAAACCCTCCATTCCACCTGACTAGCCTAAGAAATAGGAAATCAAATATAAATAAAAGAGTATTTAATTTCACTCTTGCAAATCAGATCTATAAAGTATAAGGGATAAACAACATTTTTCCTGGACTCCTGTTTAATAAGCAATAAACCGAAGCACAGAGTAAACAAAAGAAAGCAGTTGTCACAACATGACAGTGACCCTGCCTCAAGGGAAGATTAAGAGTAAACAAGGACAAGCCCATGAAAATCTGTCCTGCATCAAAATAAGATCTCAATAAACTATGTATGTCCCAATGAAAGTATGGGCTGAATATATGACACAAGAGTAGCAAATATTATTAAACTTCAAGTTTTCCTAAAATCAGTGTTAAACAATAAAAAATTATTCTTTCAAGTCTTTTTATGTTTCAAACATCCTATAAAAAGTCTCGAACCAGTTTCTACTTTTAAACTCCTCCCTGGTAACTGTCAGTGTGACTGTCAAACTTTCAATGCCTTAATTTTCTGACTGAAACCAACTAACTGAAGAAGTCTTCAGAGAATTAAAGAGATGATAAAATAGCCCTCTCTTATCTGTGGGGCTTATATTCCAAGCTCCCAATTGATTCCTGTAAAGTATGATGGTTCTGAATCTTATATATACCATTTTCCTATATACATGTTTATGATAAAATTTATTAATTAGGTACAGTATAAATGAATAAAAATCATAAAATACAACAATTTTATCAATACACTATGATAAATTATGTGAACATGGTCTCCCTCCCTCTCTCTCAATAAACACAAGTGTTTAAGTACCAAGACAGTTACTAAGTGACTAACAGGCAGGCAGGGTACACAGAATGGATACGGGAACAAACGAATGATTCACATCCTGCTGGGACAGAGCAGCATGGCTTGAGATTTTATCAAGTGACTCAGAATGGCTCAGTTTAAGAGTTTATAAACTGTTTACTTCTGGATTTTTCCATTTAATATTTTAGGACCACGACAGGCTGCAAGCAACTGAAGCCACAAAATGTGAAATCACAAATAAGGGGAGACTACTTGTATATCTTCCTGAACACTGTACCTCTACTTTGTTATAAGAGATAGCCGTCTGTTGGGGCCGGTGCTGTAGCATAGTGGGCTAAGCCTGCTCCTGCAGCACTGGAATCCCATATGGGTGCCGGTTCTAGTCCCAGCTGCTCCTCTTCTGATCCAGCTCTCTGCTGTGGCCTGCCAAACCAGAAGATGGCCCAAGTCCTTGGGCCTCTGCACCCACATGGGAGACCCAGAGCAGCTCCTGGCTCTTGGCTTCAGATCAGTCCAGCTCTGGCCATTGTGGCCATTTGGCGAATGAACCACCAGATGGAGGGCCCTTCTCTCTGTATCTTTACCTCTCAGATAAATTAATAAAATCTTTTTTAAAAAAAGGGAAAAAAAAAGAAATTGCCCTCTGTCAAAGCAGATACAGCAAGTTCATCTTACCAAATTGAAGTAAAAGGTCATCTTCCAATACTGGCTTCAAATACTCTTCTTTTTCCCAAGGCACTGGGTTGTATATGGAATTCATATATTCAACTGTAGGGTTCTGGATGTAAAATTAGTTGCATGATTTTGAATTGCATGTAGTCAGAAAAATCTCCCTAGTGAAAACTAGGGAAACCAAATTAAGAAACAATTCTATCTGCATTTTATAAAATCAGTGTTAAAAGAGTCTGTAGTCAATCTGCCATTTTGTTAGCTTGACTGGATATCTGGTTACTTAATGTTCTCCAGGTAGAGTTTCATCTTCATTTAGATTTGGGGAAAGTGACAATGTAAATATTAAACAGGACAAAAAGAAAAAGCATTTGAAGAAAAAAAGAACAAAACAGCAACCTAAGCTCTTGAAATCACAGCATAAATTATTTCTGATTTTATGGAAATACTGCCTATCAGTAATTCCCTTTATCTCAATTACTTTCACACATAGCAGTCAATCATCTCTTAGACACAGTAAAAATGACATTTATGTAAGTATGTGTATAAACGTATACTTGGCATTTTATGCTGTGCTAGTTCCTATTGTCTATGATTCCCTCGAGGATGAATGAGAAATTTAAAACAGTTCCTTATATAATTGCTCATCATCTTTCTTCAGTGCATTGACGGTCACTGTGGTATTTATTTTCCAATCAAAATTGTAAATTAAGCTACCAACTTACCTTAAGTCTTATAAAATTTATTAGTTTAATGTATCCGTAAAATTCAAGTCCTAAAGAGAAAAAAACTTATTTTAACATAATGTAAGCATGATTTAATCTGTCCTATAAAAACTTCTGATTAGACAGTAAAATGTCTGACCTCTACTACAGTATTTTGCATTTTTTATTAATTAGAAATAGTAATTTTGATATTTTAACTCTAAATATTTTGAGAAGCAGCCATAGATGACAAAATTAAGTGCTTTTCTTGTATTTATAAAAACGGGAGATTAATTTTTAGAATTATACTCATTTGTCAGAACAACACAAAGCCAGAAAATTAAGTCCTAGATTTTATCAAGTATTTGGCAGTTAACATGAGAGCTGAAAGTTTCTCAATCTCTATTTTTTATGGTGCCTACCAAATTATAATTTTGCTGGGACACAGAATAGTCAAAGTTTATTAGCTTATATAAAGTTAGTGCAAATTAAAAATAATGAGGCTTGTTATCTGGTTCTTGTATCTTTCCAGAAACAAAGCAGCATTTAACACAAAGGAAAGCAATGACAAACTGCTTACTATTTGTCATGAAAAATATTGTTATGAAGTAGCTTTAAAAACATACTAAGGGCTTTATATTGGTAACTGAAAAACACAAAATTACTACTTAAGTGTTATTCCATTCAGTTTACAAATGCCATACTAAAAATCGAAGAAAAATGGTTGTCATTGATGTCTTACAAAAGTCAATGCAGTTGAATTTATGATGTATAAACACATTATATCACATATTCCTCTGAGACCTAAAATTCTATCTGGTGTTTGAATATTATTGAAGAATACTTCAGTAATATTGTTTGAATATTATTGAAGAATAATATTTATTATTTAGCTCACTTTAGTGTAACAGTATAGTAATTCAGTTGAAGGCTTTAACCACCAAGTATGTTTAAATGCAGGTTTCAATGCAATTACCACCTATTTCACGTACTACCTTAATTTTATCATTCCCTTTTTCAATACTCTCTACCACATTTCTTATAAAACTCAATTCTGTAGGCCCTGAAGTCTATGATGTGCCTGGATGTGATGAAGTTACCTCTTTTCATGATGATGTATCTCCTTTTCTCAAGTCCACCTCCACTGTTTCCTTCCCTAATTCAAATAGGTCAAAACTTCAATCACACACCAAAGTGTTTATCTTTTTTCCCTCCTTTTAGTTGTGAAGCCATCATAAGCTCAAATACTGTGAACTGGGGCAGAGCAGAGAAAGCTACCACCTGCATAGCTGACTTCCCATTTGGGCACTGGTTCACATCCTGGCTGCTCCACTTTTGATACAGCTCCCTGCAAAGGGCCTGGGAAAAGCAGAGGAAAATGGCCCCTGCGCCCACGTGGGAAACACACATGAAGCTCCTGGCTCCTCGCTGTTTTGGCCACGTGGGGAATGAAACAGCAGATGGAAGATCTGTCTCCTTCTCTCTCTTGACTTTCAAACAAACAAATACATCTTAAGAAAAATACTGTGGGGGCTGGTGCTGTGGCATAGTAGGTCAAGCCACCACCTGCAGTGCCAGCATCCCATGTGGGCGCTGGTCCAAGTGCCGGCTGCTCCACTTCTGATCCAGCTCTCTGCTATGGCCTGGGAAAGCAGAAGATGGCCCAAGTCCTTGGGCCCCCTGCACCTGCATGGGAGACCTGGAAGAAGCTCCTGGGTCCTGGCTTTGGATTGGCCCAGCTCTGGCCGTTTCAGCCATTTGGGGAGCGAACCAGACAATCAAAGACTTCTCTCTCTCTGCCTCTGCCTCTCTGTAACTTTGCCTTTCCAATAAATAAATAAATCTTTAAAAAAGGGGCCGGCATTGTGGCACAGCAGGTTAATGCCCTGGCCTGAGGTGCCAGCATCCCATATGGGCGCCAGTTTGAGACCTGGCTACTCCACTTCCAATCCAGCTCTCTGCTATGGCCTGGTACACCAGTGGAAAATGGCCCAAGTCCATGGGCCCCTGCACCACGTGGGAGGCCCAGAGGAAGCTCCTGGCTTCCAACCAGCACAGCTCCAGCAGTTGTGGCCAATTGGGGAGTGAACCATCGGATGGAGGACCCCCCACCCCCGCCTCTCCTCTCTCTGTGTAACTCTGACTTGCAAATAACTAATTAATAAATAAATCTTAAAAAGAAAAGATGGCCCCAGTCCTTGGGCTCCTGCACCCATGTGGGAGACCCAGAAGAAGCTCCTGGCTCCTGGCTTTGGCTGTTGCAGCCACTTGGGGAGTGAACCAGTGGATGAAGATCTCGATCTCTCTCGATCTCTCTCTCTCTGCCTCTCCTCTGTGTAACTCTGACTTTCAAATAAATAAATCTTTTAAAAAATCTTAAAAAAGAAAGAAAAATACTGTGAATCTTGCCTATAAGGGTGAGTTATTAACCTTCTCAAAATCACTTGTCAAAAAACTGCATTTACAGAAGATATTACTGTATGTTTCATTGTTTCAGACTTGTATACAAAGAGACTGAGAAATCATCAAATTTGAACTCAAATTTCACAACTCAAATCGTCTCAATTCTAAAAACACTCACCATGTTTATGGACCATGCTGTCAATACTAAAGTGATGCTCAGACTTACAGTGTGAAAATGTCTCTTCGGCTGATGTGAACAACCTGGAAAATCAAGAACAGCTTCATGGAACAGGCCTTGGAGAAGTCTGAATACGGGTTTCATGTTAAATGTATACTTTTTTCACCCAGCTATTTTCTAATTCTATTTTCAAATAAGATGGAGCACACACTTGCAAACGAAAAGAACAGAATCCAGCACTTCTAAAGGGAATTAGTACTACTGGGTCCCATTTTACACATAGGGCAAATTAAATGTGGAAGTTAATTTATTCACTGAAGAACAGCACCGATTTTATCAATGGGCTTTGAAGAGTTCCCTTCGAGAGACCTTGTTTCCCACAAGGCCTGAAAACTCCCTTCTAGAGAATTCTTTGATCCTCAAGGGTCAACTTTGCTTTCAGAGGCTTTGACCTGGCACAGCTCAAACAGCTTTTAGAAATAAAGCCATAAATGCAAGCTTACAGCTCGTGCATTCCCAAAGTGCCCTATTTCAAAAGCAATCTTGGGAGTGTTCCCAAAGAACCTGCAGTACAGGACCACGCCCTTATGACGACCAGCAAAGCCGAATGACATAGAAGGTAGCTGGGGACCTCTTGCAGAGGCCTAGCACAGACACTGTAGTTAGACCTCAACAAATGCTTAGCGAGCTAGGCTACTTGCCCTACTCATGGAGCCTATCGCAAGACACAGCATGCCTGATGCTCAATAAATATTACTGCATGACAACTAGAGGCTATGCAGCCAACTGGCCCACCCAACGGGAACGTGGACAGACTACCAACCAGCACCATGCCCAGAGGTAGGAGACACTAGAAAATGTGTATTGAAGTCACACTGGCCAATGTCAGCCATGCCTCTCCCATGCCTACTTGCCCACAGCAATCAAAGTCAGAACTTCTTGAGACTAAGAGGCAGAAGTTTAAGTGGGAAAGATATCACCACTTTGTGGCCTCGGGCAAGCTATTGATACTGCAGTCTCTTTTCCCTAAGTGAAAAGGCCATCAATCCCTTCCTTTTCGACAGGTGGAGGGGGCTGCTTAAGCCGAACAACAGGATGGAACGGGCTCAAATGGAAACGTTTCACCAATGGTCAACGTTTCTCCAATGGTCAAGGAATTACAGAATGCAAAGTCTTGAAGGGCCTTTAGCAATTATCTGCTTCAGCGTGGCTCCCACAGGTGTTAACCAAGCTACCAAGACTAGAATCACCTGAGGGTGTCCCAGAGTTCCAGACCCGTCCCCGAGGTGCAGAATTGAGCATGTGTAGTAGTCTTAACTGACTCAAGGGAGGAGGGTGCACGCCAAAGTGGGAACCACAGACGCAGCGCAAAACGGTCTGATCCTACACAGGGGCCCCCGAGGCCCAAGGAGGCAGGCAGCGTAAAACCCGCTGCGCCCCGTGGGCTCTTCCTTCTCAGCAAGCCGGGTGCTCAGACGGACGCACCTGTCACAGAACAGGCAGGGGGTCTGCTGCTTGTCGTGGGGGAGCTCGGCCTCGTCCTCATCCTCCCAGGCGGCCTCGTCACCGCTGTCCGACAGTTCTGGCAGGTCCTCGGCCTCCTCCACAGCGCCCCGGCCGCCTAACACATGCACGACAGTCAGCGCCGCCGGACACCTGTGCGCCCCGCAGCCCGCGGGGCTCGCGGGATGCACAGGGCACTCCCCGGTGGGCCCTACGGCCGCGCTGGCCCGCCGTCCCCACCCAGCACCACCTCCATCCCGACTCCACCCCCGACAAGGCCCCACGGCCCCGGCCCGCGTGTCAGAAGGCGCCGGGGCGAGCGGAAGGTCTTTCTCCAGCTCCACGGCGGCACACCCTGGGGCTGGGCCGGGGACTGGGGCGGGGGCTGGCATGGCCGGTGCTGAGGGGCCGGGGTACCCACCGACAGCGCACGACGCTAACGAGCACATGGCTGAGACACCCGGGAGCCCCGCGTGTCTGGGGGCGGGGACCGGCCGGGCCACGCGCGCCCAGCCGCCGCCGCCAAGCTCGCTGGGCCGGGGATCCGGGAACGCGAGAGCGCGGGCGCGCGGCAGGGCCTGGGCTTGGACAACTCCGTGGACGACCCGAAATGAGAGCGCGGGCGCGCGGCAGGGCCTGGGCTTGGACAACTCCGTGGACGACCCGGAACGAGAGCGCGCGTTAGCTCGCGAGCGCTTCCGGCCTCGCGGCCGCGGTGGTTATCACGTGGGACTGAGTGGGCGGGGCTAGGGACTGGAGTATCACGTGGGGCCGAGTGGGCGGGGCGATGGGCTGGGGCCCACCTCCTGCTGCCGCAGGGTGAGCGCTGTGCGCGCTGACACAGCGCCGTAATGAGCTGTGGGCGTCGCAGTCTGGTGGGAGACCCCTCTTTGAGCAGCGGCAGGCCTCAGAGAGGGGTCCCGGCCGGCCGCCCTGAGCCCTGATACGGTGAGACGCCAGTGCAGTTTTACGGTCGGAATGGCGTGCTCCGAGCCTGGAAGGCTGTTTCCTAGGATGAGCGCTTTGTGGAGGAGCGACCACCCCTCAGCGCCCTCTGGTGGCGGAGGAAGCCCGGTGCAGACACAGGTTTCGCAGGTCCTGGGCTCGCCCTGAGTAACCCAAGTGAGGAGGGGACTGAACACTGCAAATGGGTGGTCCTCCTTTGGTCTAACTGGAGTGTCTTTCCGGAGACCACCATTTCTAAAAATAGCTTCCACTGTTATTTCAAGAGCACGTACCGTTTTTTAGCTCGATTGTTTCCACGATGAGGTAAAAGGCCATATGTCACATTATCACGCGGCCTGGCCCATAAAGAAAGCGATGCTTTTGTGTTATGGCTGACTGTTCTGAATGCACTCTCTCCCTTAACTGGGAACTCCTGGAGGCCACGTTGAACCGTCAAAATGACTTTTTGGTGCAAAAAAGTTTTTCATAGTGCTTAGAAAAATGCATCATAGGAAAACACTAAACATGGATTTCAAAATCTTTTTGCACCCAAATGCAAACTCTTCATTCCACTTTCCCACCACCTTTGTGAAGCCCCTTTACTTTCTATGACAGTGCCAGAGCATCTGCCGGCTCCCTTGGATAAGAGCTTTGTTCACTGACGTAGCCCTAGTGCCTGGCACACAGGCAGTACTCGGTGTTTGCTGAGTAAATTCAAGAACGCATTCAGGGCCCATCGAATTTTTCCCTTTGTATTTCCAAAACGAACTCATCCAGCCAGGCTCATCTCTGTGTTGCATGCGAGGGGAAACCTGCTGACTCAGTGACAACCAGGTCACCAATGTTAAGTAGAAGTCGCGCCCAGCCTGGAGGGCTGAGTGGACCAGAATCTTGTCCCTTGAAGCTCACCTCTCACCACCGGGTGGGCCTCAGGAGTGGGCTGCTTTTCTCCACACTGCAAAGATGAACACAGACCCTCTTCCATCATCCCACTTCACTTTTGATATCAGACTGGAGGATTGAACGATACCTGCCTGAAGGTTTGTGGGTAAGGAAATACGTTAAAACTGGCCACTGGTCTCAGCATATGCTCATGGGGCACCCCCATCAGCTGCCTCTTTTCCTGGAGACCACATTTGTCAGCACTGGGACCCACTTAGGCTCTTGAAAATCCAGCCACTAGGGAACCCCAGTGGGTAGGAGGAAAGTGTCCCATCTGCTTATTACAACTGATTCCAGGACCCCAGCCTGCCCTAGAGTATGCCTCTTTCTCTGGAGGACTGACATGGGGAATATCCTCTCCCTTTTAAGAATATATATACCTCTATCCTCCAGTGTCCATTGATGCTATAAATGTACTTGACATACTGCAGACTCTGCAATTGACTGAGTCACTCAAATCACTTTGCCTCCCCCAGCACAGAAGCTAAGACAAGTTTCACCATCATCCTTTGTTCATGATGGAAATCAGCACTGTGTGCTCCTCTTACTGTTCATTCTTCCTTCTGCATGGTCCTTTCTGTTGCCATGGTTTTACATGTTTAAATTTTTATTTATTTGAATGGCAGAGAGCCAGAAAAAGAGAAATTTTAATTTGCTTGTTTACTTCTCAAATATCCCCAACAGCCGGAGCTGACCAGGCCAAAGCCAAGAGCCTAAATTCAGTCCCAGGATCCCATGTGGGTGACAGTGACCCAACTGCTGGAGCCATCACCTGCTGCCTCCCTGGGTACCTATTAGAAGAAAGCTGGATTGGAACAGAGCTAGGACCTGACTATGAGAACATTTTGTTATTAATTAGAAGGCTCTCAGACCAATGGAGAAACCCAAATATTCCAATTTTATTCATCCACAACTTGTATTAACAATTAACTGGAGTCACTGGAAAATACCCAGATACAAGGTGCTCTTGCAGAGTACATAAAAGCAGAAGCCATGCAATCAGGCTGATCTAGGTTAGAATCCTGACCGGCATTTCCCAGCGATGTTTTCAGCTTTGGCCCTTGGGCAAGAAAGCTGACTACAAAGAGCCTGTTTCCCCATTTAAGATACGAGGTTAATGACAGTATGGACGGTTTGGAAGGTTAACATACAGCTAACACATGTAAAGATAAAACTTAGCAAGCACTTAATAAACATTAATTGCTATTCTTTCACCACGAATACTTGGACATTTTCAAACAATTGAAGCAGCACCTAAGATTTGTCCATTTATTCTTCTTTTTCATTTTCCCCTTGAATTATATAAGCTTAGCTCTAACTTTTATTATATTTTCCAAAGCAGTAGTAAAGGCACAATGTTCACGTACACAATGCTCTATGGTTCATTAGCACCTGGGTAACTCAGAGACAACAATGTCACCCGTTTTAGAACAGAGCTCATCTCTGGTCCATCAGAGACTGCTGCTGTGACTCTGCAGGCAAGTGTTTCAAAGCTGGTCTCCCAACCAGTGACGTCAGAACCAGCAGCAGCAGTTTTAGCAAAAGGAAAGCACATATTCTGGTGTCCACGTCCCAGAACTTCTGATCTGGAAGGCTTAAGATAGAGCCTAGGAATCTCTCTTCTTCCAAAGCTCCTTGGGTGAGCTGCATGTCCAGCTGGGCTCTGAACCAGTGGGGCGGAGCACGATCGTGTCCTGATTGGCTCTGAGTGTCCCAGAATAAACAACAAAGTTGAGGCATGCTGACTTTTCTTCAGACCCTGAAATTACCAATGTGGTGCTGGGTGTGGGGTTTATAGTGCAAAGTGTTTCTCCATTGTGCTCATGGCTTGAGAGAGCCATTGGCCTTCCCCAGGTCGTGGATGCCCTTGTTTTCCAGAAGTTCCATCTTCTTGTCGCTCAGTCTCACCATGTTGTTAAGCATTGCTCTAGCCACGGTCACCACAGGCACAGATTGCCCACGGGCCCAGGATTCTGGTAAAGAACCAAAGAATTTCCTAACCATCCATTCACCTGGGCGAGATTCTTGCCTGTCACATAACAGAACTCTAAAGAGAAAAAAAAAGAAAAACAGGAGGAGATGGTAACTTGCATTCTGACCATATCGGGTGCTCTGGGTTCAACTAAAACTTGTATGTTGAGCCCCAACTGCCAATGTGAGGGGTAACTGAGGTTAAATGATGTCTCTCTTAACTCATTTTGTGTTGCTCTTAAAATACCTAAGGCTGGCTAGTTGATAATAAAGGGTTTGTTTAGCTCACATTTCTGAAGGCTTAAGGGCACAGCACCAGCATCTGCTCAGACCTGGTGAGGGCCCGTCATGGCGGATGGAGTCACAATGGTTGGAGTGCATGCAAGAGTGGCGAGGAGGGGCAGCCATAGTGGCACTGCCTATGGTGCTGCAGCTCAAACTGGGGAGGCCAGGCTGCTCCACTTCTGATCCAGCTCCCTGCTAATGCACCTGGAAAAGCAGAGGACAATGACCCAAGTGCTTGGTTTCTGCCACCCATGTGGGATACCTGGAGAGAGTTCCTGGCTCTGGAATTCAGCCTGGTTGCAGCCATTTGGAGAGTGAACTAGAGAGTGGAATCCCTCTCTCTGTGTGTTTCTCCCTCTCTCTAACTCTGCCTTTCAAATAAATAAGTAAATCTTAAAAAAGAAAAAAAAAAGGAAGAAAGAAAGAAAAAAGAGTGGCAAGTAATGCACACAGAAGAAATATTCAAGGGAACCGCCAGGCTCCCTTCTAACAACCCACTCTGCTGAGAACTCATACAGTCCCCAAATACTTGAATTAATCCCTTCCTAGGGTCATGCCCCCACCCTAATGATACTTAACTAGATCTCATATCCTTTTTTAATTTTTATTTATTTATTTGAAAGGCAGACATACAGAGACAGAGAGCCAGAGTAAGCGAGAGAGAATCTCCCATGTACTGGTTCACTCCCCAAACACCACAACAGCTAGGATAGGGCTAGGCCAAAGCCACAATCCTGGAACTCCAACAGGTCCTCCTATGTGGTGTCAGAGACCCATCTACTTCAGCCATGATCTGCTGCCTCCCAAGGTGCACATTAGCAGGAAGCTAGAATTGGAAGGGGAGACAGGACTTGAATCCAGGCACTCTGATTCGGGATGCAGGTACCCCAAGCAGGGTCTTAACCATCACACCAAACACCTGATCCAGGACCCATCTTCCACCACCTGCACCCTGCCACTCTGGAGACGAGGCTTCCAATGTGAGCCTTTGAGGGATACACTCAATATACCAACAACTGCCAGGTGAAGACACAGACAGAAGGCACCCATCTGCCAGTGAGGGAAAAAGCTTCCCCCGAGAGCAACACTGGCAGGCCCCTGATCCTGGACTCTAGCCTCCAGACTGAGAAAATCCATCTCTGTTGCCTCAGCCACTTGGTCTGTGGACTCCATCATGGCAGCCCAAGCTGATACGGTGGTACAGGAAGACAATGTTTCAAAAGAAGGTAGCCGGTGCCATCCAGGAATTTCTGAATTGTTCTGCAGCTGGTACCACCACTGACCTGTTCTTTCAAAGCCAAGGGGTGGGTCCTTCAGAGAGGCAACCCACCTCTCGCCTATTTCTTTCATATCTTACAATAATACCTCAGATGTCAGCCTCTCCAAAAGGAACATGAGCTCCTAGGGACTGACAAGCCACAGAATACTCTCCAGCAGTAACAATACTTACCCAGGCCTAAATATTGAGTAGCGATCGAAGTTTAATTCTTCAACTCTGGCCTCCACTTCCCCCTGTTAAGAAAAAAAACCCACATTTTTAGTATTTAATTGAGACCAGCACACTTAGGTTAATCTTA